AATATGTTCCTGATTTCACTTCCAAATTAATTTGTGCGTCCAGACGTCACAAGGGCAACCAAACACGCATTTTGTCTTTTTTCCTTGTCTCTATCTGGAGCATACACACTTGTGGAAAGAATCTAGTTTTTACACCTACTGTACACTTTCTACAGAAACATTTACAAGAACTAGCATACTGTACATGCCGGCCTGGGATGAATTATACGTTATATTTTACAATTTTACAGATGTTTCCATTTCGGCAAAAACAGAAATCTACTACATATTTAATGAATGAAGCATTTATGCTGATTCTTATCATTGCGTTGTAAGTTCATCAGGCAAAGATATTTCAACACTTCAAGTCACACATCTCTAATTCTAGTACTGGACTGCGCATCAAACATTCTACATAATATTACGTTGCTGAGTTGAAATGCTTGCCGTAAAGATGACCCGATAATAATAGCTGAAAAGCGGGCTGAGGATCTCAATTTTTGTGGCGGCTCTTCCCTTTCCCCGGTGCGAAGGGGTTAAAGTCCCTAATAAGGAAAGGTCGCATAGCGCCGAAGGCGCAAGATGGATAACTCTGCCCAAAATGTGTAATTACCATGGGCGCCATTTGAGCAAGCGATATGCCTGCGCGGTTTTTGGTAATGCTTCGGAGCAGGCTCACCAGGTGCACGTGCCTGCCACGACACCTGCGCATCATGTGCATTGCGCAGGCGTATCGCTTGCTCAATGGCACCTTTGCAATTACAACGTTTTACGTGTATTCGCAGTGAAGTTCTCCATCTTGCGCCGCTCCGCAGCCCTATACGATCTTTGCTAATAAGTGCCTTGTTAACTGAGTACCTTGTTTCAAGAATCTATGTGAATGGCATAAACAGATTTGTCATATTATACGTGTACATGATAGGATCTAGAGTCAATTTGTTTAGACATTTAAAAACAAAATTTAGGAATTTTATTCCTCTGAAAGCATAATACACTGCACTTACTCCATATTTACGTATGTGTGCCAGCGATTCCCCAGAGACTAATTTCTTACGTGTTGTCTTGATACACAAAGTCGCGAAAATAATCGGATTACAAGCGACCACCAAGCGATCAGTATACAACACACGTGCACGTGCGGTGCATAGTTACATCAGCACATAAACGGATTTCTTTGTGCTGGGAGGTACGCCCTCTATCATTCAGTACAACGTTTAACGCACAAAGGCCTTGACTTGGGCCGTTTTCCAATAATCGACTTGGGCTCCGTCGGAGGCTTCAACTGTTATTTTCCTTCCTGACTTCGAGGTTACAAGCGCAATTGTCTGATTGTGCCACAAAACATCAAGTAAGACGCAAAAAAGCTAAACATTACAGTATTTCAATTTAAGTTAAACGCTTCAGGCCCACAATCGAGGATTGGTTTCCCACACGAAGCCTGAGACGAAGACGAAGTTGAGTATTGGAAAACGGCCCACGACTACCCAAAGCGGGCAATCACAATGCGGGAAATTTGTCGACCCAATGCGCGTTTACAGGGTCGACAAATTTCGCGCGTTCCGATTGGCCAATGCGTTGCAAATTCTTAGAGGCGCCGTGAATCGCCGGTAACCTGAGAGATGGATGCTATGCTCCATTTTATCCCTGTCACGCGTTTCTCATCGTTATGGTCAGATTGTGCGAAACACGGACCATCATTGTCACGCAAAGCAAATTTAAAGACCTGCTTGTGGGCTGTGACCGCGAGTTTAGCTGTAATGCTGACCCTCAACAAGACAGTCGTCGACCTTCGTTTACATGGCTCATGAAGGGAGCAGACAACCTGCCACGCAGTGTTACCAAAGAGTATATAAAATGGCATTTTTTAATTAATTAGCAAACTCAGAGTAAAAAATTAAAGCTCTTGCCCCGTTATTCCTCAGTTTTGAAAAAAAGACATAATGCATGTATTATGACAATTTGCTGCAACATCACTACACGAATGTAATCGAAAGGCCTTTCCCAGAAATAGGCCTAACTTTCAGTTGTTTGACTAAACACATATAACCTTACTTTGTTACAAGAGAGGCTTTCACTTTGTGATCCCCCCATGAACAAACTTGAAAGTACTTTAGAAATCATGGTTGGTGGCGTAATAAAATCGCCCACGTGATTGATACATTCAGCAGTTCCGATTATTATAAACTTAATTGTAATGAGTCTAAGTTCTCATTTCTGAGGTGACCAGCGGGACAATGGCTCCAGCTTTTGCATTCTTTGTGTGCCTTTTACTCCGGGTCACATTGTCATCAGAATCTGTGGGTTTTGTGCGACATCCGCTGAATCAGACGGTAGCTGAGGGTGGAACAGCAACTTTCACTTGTCAAACCAACTTCTCGGTTGATTGTACAGATGTTCAAATCTATTGGGCGAGACATGGACATAAAGATAGATTAAATGTTTGCACCTTTCCTTCTTACTCNAGTATGTTCCTGATTTCACTTCCAAATTAATTTGTGCATCCAGACATCACAAGGGCAACCAAACACGCGTTTTGTCTTTTTTCCTGGTCTCTGGAGCATACACACTTGTGGAAAGAATCTAGTTTTTACACCTACTGTACACTTTCTACAGAAACATTTACAAGAACTAGCATACTGTACATGCCGGCTTGGGATGAATTATACGTTATATTTTACAATTTTACAGATGTGTTCCATTTCAGCAAAAACAGAAATCTACTACACATTTAATGAACGAAGCATTTATGCTGATTTTAATCATTGTGTTGTAAGTTCATCAGGCAAAGATATTTCAACGCTTCAAGTCACACATCTCTAATTCTAGTACTGGACTGCACATCAAACGTTCTACATAATATTACATTGCTGAATTGAAATGCTTGCCGTAAAGATGACCTTTGACTTAGCAGTAAAAGACCGGCATGCAAATCAAGCAAGTGGCATACATGTTGCGCATGCCTTAAGTTTAGCATTTTAGATGATACAATGGAAAATTTTTTGCTCTAGATGAGCCAGCCAAAAGGGAATATGGTAAATCAAACGTATTGCACTTTTTTGTGCTTACTACTCAACAGACAAAACAGGCCAAAGAAGTTAATAGTGTCAGTGAGTAAAAATGAGCAAGAACATGAAGTTAAATAGAACAGGAAGTTAAATATTTTGAAAAAGTTGAAAGTATATACCTAAATCTTCTCATCAACAGTTTTGAAGTTCTCAAATCTGAATTTAGATTTGAGTACTCTTTCCCAGGCCTTGGTCTTCGGTATACTCAACTGTAACACTGCTAACAAGGTTCACTAGTACAAAACCAGTGTTTGAAATATCCGTTTTTACTTATTACTGCGAGTTTGGTTAAATACATGAATGGCTGAATGGATTACATGTACATCAGTGGCCTGGCTTATCACTAATGCAACAAACATAATGTTGCCAGTTTTTGTTATAAACACATTAATTACACATGACACTGGTTTTACAACTCCTAATGAGAGAACTATTCATGAAAAAATATCTGTTCATTATGGGAAATACCATTAGATTAGATACCATATTGGTGGCGCTGGGCAGACATCAAACCAAGTTGGGCAAACTTCCTAGTATCCCAAATTTCAGGTATCCATTCATGAACTGTGCGTCCATAAATTGTGATGGATTAAATATGCAAATAAATCACTGCTGGTCATGTGGCCTCACCCTTTTATCATTAGGGGCAGCATTTACTGAGGTATATGCACATGTGCTAAGTAGTGCTTTGAAATTTGGGCCAACTAAAGATGCCTAATTTCACACTATTCACAGCCCTATCTATGCCATTTGAAGGGTATTATTGTCCCGCAATTCTAAATCTACAGTTTTCAGATATATGGAGTTGAACTGTCATGCTTTACAATCACACAGAACTCAGGGACAGTGTGCCACAATTTTTTCAAAGTAGGTAGTTTTTGCCACATAATCAAATTTCGTCACCACCTATCAGCCAATTAAAACAAAAAGAAAATAAGTTCTGGTATTTATGTTTTCCTTTTTACCCTCATGTCATCAATTACATTTGATTATGCTTCTTTCTCATTTAATTTCGATGAATTCAAGATGAACTTGAAGAATTCTGTGGAAAAGAACAACGGTATATTATTGTGGAAACAGCACGTTCTGAGTGCCGGGGGCTGAAAAGAAATTGAAGCGTAATCCTTTTCACAAATATAGACATATAGACACCTTACTCCATTCCCTGGACATAGTCGATGTGGACAAGCCCCGATTGATCACCCTGGGAGCACATGAGCCAATCGGGATCAACCTGCTGCTGAACGGTCAGGATGGAGCCCTTGGTGAAGCTAAGCTGCTCCTTGGACATGGTGACATGATGGCAGCGCGCCTTGACAGGACTCCTGCACCAAGGAGAAGGAGAACATACCATTTGTATGAATCTAAACACAGAATGTCAGAACTTGCGCCTTGTGTGGAACTGGAGAGTGGCTGTGGCGATTGTTACTGTTGTGGCAATAAGCCAGATGCTTTAGACTAGTGCATTTACAGTGTGTCAAAGTAACATTTTGTCCAAAAAGGGTTTAGTTTAGTGTGAAACAGAGGCCAAGTTGCATATTCTTACAGGGAAATCTTGCAAAAATCTGCCAAAAACTCAAGGTGGATTCAAGGGTGGATTCTGGGAGAAGACCAACAAGGGTCACCCCCCACCAAAAAAACCCCAGCCAATTTAAAAAAAAAAATCTAAATAATGAGAGAAAGGTGATTTTTCTGGTCTATTTCATTTCTCTTTCTTCCACAAGTGTGTAAATGCCCCATACTTCAGCTTCATCCCTTAGACAGGCCATTAAAGTTACACGAAAATCTTTCAAAATAGTTCCATGAAAAATTTTCCAAATTTTGGGGCTCCCTAAAACAAGTTTGCCCTCCCCCCCCAAAAAAAAAATTGGTTCTGGATCTGCCCTTAGGTGGATTTTGAATGGTTTAGCACAGCTGACAAAACACTCATTTTCTGTGGTTGTAAACCTTTACTTCAAAAAAAAAATGCTGTACTTAAACACGAATATTTAATTAATTTAAGTCCACCCAGTATTTAATTTGGACTTAGCAGTCTCCTGCGTTGGTGTTTGGTAATTGCCGTGTTGCATCACACTTACCCTGGAGCCACAGGGCTGCTCGGTGACTCCATCTTCCTTGGAGATGCAACTTGCTTGGGGGAGATTGTTTCTTTGTCTGATGTTCTGCTAGGCCACTCTTGCCGTACTGGCTGTCGTTGGGTCGTGGTAGCTATGCTGTCTGGCCTGATGCGGTCAAAGGCCTTTGAAAGGCTGTGAAGGGTAGCGGAGAAGAGTAATATAAAGAAACATAAAACCAATACATCCCTGCCTACATGTACATCTCCTCTAATTGTACAGAATAATCTCTTCGATTCCTTTATGGCCACAAAATCAAAAGCACTTGTATGTGTCCAAAACTTGTAAAGGCCGAGACCCCATTTTATGTCTGTAATTAGTTAAACAAATCAAATCTGCACTTAGAAAATATCGCAGATGCACCTAACATCTATGTGATTCTCAGATAAATAGCTTCTATCTGGAGGCAGAGAAAGTGATTCTTTGCTAAACTAATGCTAACTACATGTAGCAAACTGTTCTGTACTGACAAAGTTGGCTCACAATGGTATTTGCCCTGAAACCTACGCAAAGCCACAAAAATAGGCCACTTTCAGGGAAATCAGACCTGTCCTCAGGAAATTAGGCCCAGAGCCCACAAAATTGGATCCATGTCCTACTTTTTGTACACAGCCTATACACAGGTAAATTAAAAGACTTGTGTGAGTTTCTGATGAAAGATTTAAGAAACAGTAAACAACTAGCACTGCATGTATAAATGTGTGTGGGTAATCAAATCTCTACTGGATAGGAAAAACTTCAATTTGCGGTAGAAATTTCATTAGTTTTTGGTGTTTTCCCCTTTGTGGGGGGGGGAATACCACTCCGCCCCCATCCCACCCCCCTACCCATGCCTACTAGAAAATTCTGTTGATCATATAGAGCTGATGTAGCAGCTAACATTGTCAAGTTCCCTGCAAAGCTTATGGAATATTCACTTTCAAAGATGGAATTCCCCACGGAGTAACACAAGCAGGATGTTGGTGTTTCAATAAGAGGCGAGTACAGTAAGTCATTTACAGAACTGCACTGACACCATGGATGCATTTCAGTTTCTAATGATGTACAGTACTGGACATGGCAGCGGCAAGGGCCAAACCCACATACACATGGGATTTATCAATTATTCAATGCTTGCTGTGGCCAACTGTCAGTTTTTATTTTGAGTTTTGCAATCTCTGCACGAGAGGATGTCGTGGGAGTTTTTATATCACTTTCATGATCTGCGATATGAGAATGAGATTTGAAGCTTGTCATGGTGAAGGTAGCAAATAAACTAGACAGGTTTGCGGTAGCATCATGGATATCCCTCTGTTTTGAGTATGTGGGGTTCTGAAAAGAACCGGTGGTACTCAACATTTCGGACAGTATGCTGTGTCTGTCGTCAGTCTCCTGAGAGAGGATGTTGCGGTACAATTGTAGTCTACGCAACCAGAAACCAATTTTGAACTTCCTGACGATGCAACGGTGAGAAAGAGAAAAGCAATTTTTGCCCAACACAACCAACTATGGGAAATCCCAATTAGGTTCCGTAAAGATCTTTCCCACGATCACACTAGTGAAGTTATACACGTACCAGTGGAAACAAGTGTGCTTAAAAGCTACAGTGCGTAAATTTGTGAGGGGTGGAGGGTAAAGGAATGAGGCATGCAGGTGGGTAACAAATTTCAACATTGATCCCTCATTGGTAGAGTGCTTTTCAAAATCTAGCATTCAAGGTTCACCTGATGATGGGCATTTGCACACTGACCAAGTGTCCACACAAGCCTAAGCCTAATGCACTTGTCCTGGTGGCTTTTCACAGGCACAAATGTAAATTACCAGCCGCAGCCAAAACTTTTGAATGCATCAAAAGACATTAACAGCTCCTTCAGGACCAAGGAAATCTACATAGAAGACTCTTAATTAATATCCACATGCCTCATTGCAACTGCAGAGCATTTCAGAGCTGCTCTTAAAAGGGGCCAACGAGGGCGACAAACTGAAATGAACCTCCATCTAATTACCTAAGGAATTGAGAGGATTGCAACCCTGGAACTGTATTTAAAAGATTACCCGTGAGATGGTACATGTACATTTATGTTTGGAGAAGACCTTGTTCCTTAATGGGCCTTTCTGAGAAAAGTGGGAGCTATCA